GAAAACCCGTTTTGAAACGAAAATGACGTCATTTATATTATAGACGCTGATTGACAGACATTAGAGAGATTTCGCACATAAGTGAAAGTACAACTTATACGTATACGTATAGTTTAAAGGGTCATGTCGAACTATTGTATTTACTAAAATCAATTTTAAATTGTACTTAATGGAACATGACTAATTCCGTTATAGAAAAGCTCCAACTAGAGACTATGAATGCACTGTCATCTGCACGTGTAGATTATGCACATTATAATTAAATGCTTGTTTCCGTGTCCTTGTAGTTGTAGTGTATTATAAACACGATCCTTTAAAGGGAGTCATGATTCTTTAAAGTGAGTCATTACATAAACAAGTTGATTATTTCAATGTTTTCATGATCAGTATAAGTTCAATGAACTTACAAAACGGTATATTTACATAGATGATAACGTATACAGTTGGATCTCCGTATAAAGATTTGCCTACATGTGTGTGGAACAATTGACCGCAAGCATTTTTTAGAAATAATTGGCTGAGTGGGAACATTATCCAATCAAATACTTTAACCATCAATTTGAAACACCAATCAGACCAGTAGGTTCTAGCAGTTCCTAGAAACGACCCATTCAGTAGCTCAACATATGACATACAGGGTGTTTCATAACGAGCATCTCCAAAAAGTCAATTTGAGAAGAGATGGGTCTATAACATATGTACTATATATATGAGCCTATTTTATTCTAGACAAACACATTTGGATCAACTAAACACGCTACAATTCAAGAAAATACAAATGGCATCCCTTTGACCTGTATTTATTACAGTCCGAGAAGATCTTTCCTGATGAAAAGCTCACATTATGAAACACTTTGTACGTTTACCTATAAGTATACGTTATAAGTTGTATTTTCACTAGGTGCGAAATCTCTCTATTATAATAAATTTGAACTTATGATATACTTATTTTTTTATATTTAAAATTTTTTATCATATCATTTTAAAATTTTACAATTACAATACAATGTTTCTTTTATCAAGTTCTATTTTAAAATTATGTTAGATATTAATATTTTGGTACAATTCCAACTTTTGCTTGTGGATTGTCCACTTAGCAACAATTATTACTTGATTAAGATACTCTTTTTCTTTACCTAAAATACCTTTAAAGATGGTTTGTTCATTTAAACTTATTTCACAATTGTTTCTTATAAAGTCCCATATTGGGAGTACAAAATTGCATGTTATAAATCTGTGAGTTAAATCATCTTTGTTTTCATTACAAAAATTACAATTTGGCGTTTCCTTTATTTTCATTTTAAAAAGTTTATCATTTGTTATCACAATATTGTGTAAAAATTTCCATTGAAAAACTATTAACTTAGTCTCTTTAGTGACGTTATGTGCTAAGCACCAATAAAAGTATTTATCTACATCTGTATCATCCTTTAATAAACTGTTGGTCGGTTCTAAAAATAAATTCTGTATGTAACTAGAATAAACTTGTTTTGTTGAAAGGGTTTTGTCACTAGATGTCTCTCTTTTGTGCAGAGCTCCTCTTAAAATGTTATACTCTAAGGTGCAATTAATAGCAGTTTTTATATTGAGATCATTTAAAGACAAAAGATTATTTTCATCATCAAAAATATCTTGAAAGTAAAATATGTCTTTTAACCAAACGTTCTAAAAGGATACATTTGTTCTTGTACTGAAAATCTTTATTCAGCCATACACTTTGAGCTACTTTATCAATTACTTTATATGCTGAATTATTAAAAGAATCCAAGACTTTAATACATCTTTGTAAAATTGTGGAACACTTTTGTGTATATACTTTTGAACATTGCTAAAAGTGTCACTTGCTTTTAAAAGTACATAATTTCCACATATTTTGTTGATATAATGTTTGGGCAAAATGCTCCATGAATTATCATGGGTTTCCAGTAAATTCTGTGCCCATTTACATAATAAACTGTTAATTTTACTTTTTAGATCAACCATTTTATAACCACCTTGTTCATATGAACCTATTAAAGTTGACCTTTTGACTTTATCTGGTTTACCATCCCAAATAAATTCATACATTGATTTTTCTAATTCTGCTATAACCTCACATGGAGTACATTTCACTGATGCTAAATATAATATTTTTGACAGTGTTAATGTTTTTATGATTGTGATCTTTCCATGTTTGTTAATTTACGTTTTTTCCATATTGTGAGTTGGTTTTTAAAATGATTAACTCTACTTTCCCATGACTTTAAATTCGCTTTTACAATATGATATACCAAATAAAAGATGAGTAAATTCCCTATCCATTGGTATATAATATGACATGTTTTCAACAAGAAAATCAATATTTATATTTGAAATACGAGTGGCCCAATTTTTTTTGGACCGCCCTGTATATATTTTAATTTAGCTAAGTGGAATTTCATTTCAAAATGGCCTCCATTTTTCTGCCGAGTGAGCTGTATTAATGGCAGATCTGTTGAGTTTGAGGTTCTTTCCGAAAAGAAATTTTGAAATGTCTTGATCCAGACAAGCAACGCTTCAACTTAAATATGATTAATATTCTTATAAATATTTATAAGAATTGTTAATAGGAGTTCTAGGTGCGTGGTTCTAGGTACTTTTTCTAGATTACATACGAAATCAATGAAGTTACATCTAGCTGTAAGCTAGAGACTCGAGTAAGTCCAGAAAGCCCTAACAACCGCGATTCTATTTTACAAAATGGCAGATATCTGGGTAGTCATTAGCTTTACAATGAATAACTCAATAATCTCTTTGTTCCTTTTTCCTTGCAAAGTATGTGCAAGTAATTTGGAAAGAATGCTAATGTAGATAAGGTGGTGAATCGCCTTAATATGCCGTTTTTTCTGAATTTCAATGGAATACTGTAAATTGCTTTTATTTAACGGCTGTTTTAATTTGGCGGTTTGATAACATCCGCCACATTAAGTCTCTGCCAATTTTTTTAAAATGCAATTGTGATTTTTGGGTTTGCATCAGTGCATGCGAAGCAAGCCCCAAAAAGGGGGTATGGGGGTTCACCCTAGGAAATGTTTTAAAAATTTACATTGTATATGGTGCATTCTAAGCATTTCAGACTATAATCATCCATTGCACCCCCCTCCCATGCCCATTCATATAAAACAGTTACAGTAACTGACACTTATGCTGTTATAGAATATACTCTTTCATATGACCCTATTGTAGTTTTATATGCAAGTTGTACAAACAGATTATTTGAATGACATATCCACAGTATAGAATATATCACATGATCGCATACTTAAGTCCATAGTGACATTTTAGATCTGTTCTTCTGACGATGTGGAGTGGTTTTCTGTTTATCAAGATGCTTCCGATTTATTGAAGTAGAAGTGTAAGGGGTTCTTAATGTAATCCGTTCGTCATTCTTTCTTGTTGAATTAAATCCCCCATTGTTATATCTTATGAAACAAATTAAGAATTGATAAAACAATGCTTGTTAATGTTAGACTAATAAACGAATAATATACCATTTGTTAATTTCACAGGGTGAATCTGAGATGAAGAAACATCTAGTAATTATATGTACAATATATAAAGATCAATGACATCTGGCAAATACCGTCATTAAAAAGGTTAACAGATTAATAACACCATGTTCAACCATTTAACTAGACTATATACATATATAAGATTTTTTCTATAAGCGCTATTATTGTATCTGATGTTTTTAATTCTACATCCAGGCCCAGAGCCAGGATTTGCTAAGGGGGGTTCAGTTTTCAAAAATTTCCAGGGGGTTCACATTTGACAATTTTGGCCCAAATGTGGCTAAAATCACTTGAGAAGTGCTCAAAATGGTGAAAAACTGCATGATTTTGAAAGAATTTTTGGCCGGGGGGAGGGGTTGCAAACCCTGCAACCCCCCCCTGGCTACGGGCCTGACATCCAATGTGTGTAGCATGTGTAATGTAGACATCTTGGGGTGATTTAAAAAAACTCAAAATCATTGAATTTATGTAAAAAAAACTTAATGGAGCTTTTCCTTTGGAATTAATGATAATATATCATGATTATATGATATATGATATGGACATATACTATAATTCCAATGAATTATAGTATATATGATTCAGCCACCACTTTTCTTTTTTTAAATTTCCCCCAAAATATGTACATAAACTTATATAAGTATTGGATTTGTGTTGTAAAATATGTTTGGAACAATAAAAAAAATGATTCCAATGGTAGGCATAAATCTCTGACAAACTTTAGATACACAAAAAATAAATATATATAGAGATTATCCTATATGAGGTTCAGGATATTGGGATTATCCCGAGGCAAATATAATATATTTGTCCGAGGGCCGCAGGTCCCGAGGGAAAATATATTATATTGGCCAAGTGATAATCCCAATATCCTGAACCGACTATAGGATAATATGTTTATCCCATACCAATCTTGGTCATCTGGTTCACATTGTTCAATCGTGGAAATATTTTAAAATATTCATGTCCAGTTTTGTTTTCTTGGCCGTGGGCGGATTTTCCTGTTCTCTCAAATATTCCCACATTTATTTTCTCGAATTTTTGATTGATAAGTGGATGCTCTTTCCCTTTTTTTAAACCATCAAACAGATCCCGATTGCCTGTGTTTTCTCCATTGTAGTTTACAGTCATTACGCGAACGTTACAAATTATGAACAAATATGCGAGCGGCGATTATGACGTAGCGGGCAGATATACTATATCTGCCCGCTCGAATCGGGACGTAAAAGCTATATCTGCCCGCTGATGAAAATATAAGTTTTTACAAACCAGCTTTATGTACCCGTAACACGTCCAAGTATGGGATAAAATCAAATATGTAATATGTAGCTTGATATGCTTCACAATTTCATTTCCTTGACAATGCTCAGAAAAATTCATCAGTTGTATAATGTTTTACGAATCCCTAGAATATTGGTTTCTATCCTGTGTATAAAAATAAAATAAATAAGTAAACATAAATATTTGCAGGCTAAAGAACAATTGCTGATGGTTATTTATGAATCCTGCACTCATCATTTCAACAAGGCCTATATACAGTCACAATGAGCATAGACAGTGAGTGCAGGCAGTGAGTGTAGACAGCGAGTGCATGCAGTGAGTGCAGGCAGTGAGTGCAGGCAGTGAGTGTAGACAGTGAGTACAGGCAGGGAGTGTAGATATTGAGTAAAGAAAATGAGTGCAGACAGAAGAAGGAGGGCCCGTGTTCAAGGGGGTTGGGCTGCCCCAAGTGCAGGCCCTAGGAGCGATCGTAACAAACCTACAATGCCGCAACAGCCTGCATGGACAGGGAAAACAGTCGATCAACCAACGGAGAAAAAATTTGTGTTTCAAAAGCCTGAACAGGTAAATGGCATTGCTATTAGAAATAATGTGTTAAGTTTTTGTGTGACCTTGTGTGACCTTGACCTTGTCTGAAAACTGGAACGATTCACTGATCAGTATTTTATAGTGATTCAATTTGGAATAATGTAATAATAACAAATGATATAAGCCAATGATAAATGTATAACTTCAAACATTCATATATTCTTGCAGGAGATGAGACAGGCACCAGAGGAAGAGGTGATTACGTAAGCACATAAAATTATATTTTCTAACTTGAGTTTTTTGTCAAAAATCATATTGTCTTCATTAATTCAATTATCTCTCATTATTCCTCCCTCACTTTCTCCTCCCCAAATATAGCAAGAGTTGAATATTAAAAATATTGAAACTTTATTTTCAGGAAAATGGGTATCTATGATATAAGCTCAGGACCAAGTGGGGTGTCAAGGTAGGTCTTCGAGTCATGCTACTAGGCATCTTTATATATGACAGTGGTTCCCTAGACCTGCAAAATGTCAAGGAATTGTATTTACTTTCCACGCATCTGGAAAGCTTTTCAGGGAATTTCAAAAATATGCCAAAGGGACTACATGATCATGGAATATTTAAAATAAAAATAATAAAATGTGTCAGGGAAATGTCAGAGAATATTGTTACAGAACTTAAAAATTAAAAATTAATGAATTTATAATATTGATCAAAAACTCATTCCAATAAATCCCACTTGTCTGCAAATAACTTCGATAACAATTCCTATTTTAGGTTACGATATTTCCCGAATTTCATCGAAAAGATGGAAGCTGACGTGATGTTTGAAACATTATATAATGAGACCCCTTGGCAACAACGTCATGACTTGAAGGGTAAAGATGGCGTACAATATACTCAGCCTAGATTAACTGCTTGGTACGGCGAACTACCATATACATATTCTGGCGTAACCTGGGAACCAAATAGATTTGTAAGTAATGATAAGAAAATCATACTATTTCTATGCCCTTTGAAATAATCATACTTGTCACTGTCAGTATATTTGTTACATTCAGCATATTTGTCACAATAAGCGCACTTGTCACAATCAGCATATTTGTCACAATCAGCACACTTGTCACAATCGGCATATTTGTTACAATCAGCATACATGTCACAATAAGCACACTTGTCACAATCAGCATATTTGATACAATCGGCACATTTATCACAATCAGCACACTTGTAGCAATCAGCATATTTTTCACGATCAGCACACTTATCGCAATTAGCATATTTGTTACAATCAGCATACTTGTCACAATCAGCACACTTGTCACAATCAGCATATTTGTTTCAATCAATATACTTGTCAAAATCAACATATTTGTCACAATAAGCACACACATCACAATATTAATATACACAAATCACAATCATAATACAAGTCTCACTTAGCATAATTGTCACTTTGAGTATACTTGTGATAATCAATCGTCAAATGGCAAAGTGCCAGTAAAATGTTGATGAAATAAAATATTTAGTCCAGTTAATGATGTTTAATTGAATATTTATTATATTTTGCAATTCTTCATCTGAATTTAATAATATCGATGCATTCTATTTTTAGTGGACGAAGCTGTTAAAAAGACTGCGAAAGGATTTAGAGGATAATACAGGATTTGTTTTCAACTCATTGCTATGCAACCTCTATCGCAATGAGAAAGACAGCGTGGACTGGCATAGTGACGATGAAAAATCACTCGGCCCAAATCCAATAATTGCCTCTATGTCATTTGGCGATCAAAGGAATTTTGAGCTCCGGAAAAAACCTCCACCGGTAGGCAACCATTTTAGATGAACATTTTGATTGTGTAAATACTAATTGAGCAAAAATGATACATAAGAGAAAATTGTATGAAAACTGCAATGATTTTTGTTTCTGGATCCAACATTATATACTCTCTATTAGTATAAAGTATCCAAGTATCCAATGTTATGCATATGAAATCAGAAAGTATATTTCCATCAGGCCCGTAGCCAGGGGGGGGGGGGGTTCGATGGGTTTGAGCACTTTTTAAGTGATTTTGGCCATTTTTGGACCAATATTGTCAAAAGTAACCCCCCCCTGGAATTTTCCAAAAAGTAAACCCCCCTTGGCAAATCCTGGCTACGGGCCTGTCCAATAAAACCTGTATTCAGAACACTCCTTTAATCTGAAAACCTTTGAATGTAAACTCTTTTTTGGTTCTGTTTTTTTGGGGTGTCAATTGCCATTGTTGATGTGCCCACCCCCTTGATCATCAACATTTTTTGAGGGTGACTATAATGAGGCGGGGGGGGGGGGGGCACAAGGGATAGTTTCCAACTTTTTTGAGGACAGTGTTCAGTTGGCAGTCTGTATCTGTAACAAATGGCGATCACATTTAGCATGTAATACATGACTTGTCTTTAATAACATCTGGTTTCAGGAGGAAAATGGTGACTACACCTACTCAAAACGAGTGAAAATCCCCTTGACATCTGGCAGTCTGCTTATAATGGAAGGAAGCACTCAAGAGGATTGGCAACATCGGGTGCCGAAAGAATATCATGACAGGAATGCCAGGATAAACCTAACATTTCGGGTGATTCACCCTGAATAAGCAGAGACATATAAAAATACATGTCAGTGATCTCCCCAGCATTGAAGCAAGTGGGCGCAGCACCCACCTGAGATTTAAAAAGGCTTGCACCCACCTGAAAATCCTTTTGCACCCACTTGAAAAAGAGGAAAATTCATGAAAAATGGGCATCTTTTGACCAATTTTGAACTTTTCATCTCTTTACCACATGACTGTGCTGCCATCTTTTGCACTGCCCCCATACTGTAGCCTGTATTTCCTTAAAAGGGATACAGACTACAGTGAAGTTGCAAATGGAGGACGTTTGCTTTTATCCATATTTCTGAAGGTATACTACATTTTACATTTATTTCAAGTGAACTAATATACATTGTATAGATTCATTGTGCAGTTTGCATTGTATTATTACCAGACAAGCCCCGTAGACAAAGACAGAGAATACCTGTTCCCTTTGCAACTTCACTGTAGCCTGTATCCCTTTTAAGAAATACAGGCTACAGTATGGGGATAGGGTAGTGTGTTTTTATGAACACTATCATCCGATATCAACGCATCAGCCCAAAGTATACAAATTGACCCTGTCTTTGAGATTAACTATAAAATATAACTATGAATCTGATATTGATATTATTTTTATAAATGAGGCTCTGTATAAAATGTGAGAATCACCTTATAATACAGGATTTATTGATGTCATTCAGCCAATCAGATTGCTGTAAATTACACCCCTATGGAATAATATAAGTGCATGAACATGTATGAGTATGATTAGAAACCTATGGGAATATACTGTGGCTTAGGAGAGTTAGCAGGCCCATAGTCAGGGGGGGAAGGGTCGCAGTGTTCTGGCGAACCCCCCCCCCCCTGGCCAAAGATTCTTTCAATATCATGCAGTTTTTCACCATTTTGAGAGCACTTCCCAAGTGATTATAGCCATATTCGGGCCAAAATTGTCAAATGTGAACCCCTTGGCAAATCCTGGCTACGGGCCTGGTGGTTAGTATATATTTGAGAATAGACATTCTAGAATGACTCATATTTTAGCCCATACATGTACTGTATATACACTCTACTATACCTTGCATTTGGTGTTCATGAGCAACCCATTTGGCTTATTAGTAATGATTATGTATTTGTTTTTATTTGTCTGTTCCTTATAAATGGTTTATCGGTTGAATAATAGATGTTAATAAGGTACTTTCAAAAATATACTAAACAATTCAATTAGACAAACAAAGTATCATGCATTTCTAGGTGTTAGGTATAGTAGTGTGATATAGCAGTGAGGCAGTCATCGGCATATATTCATCAACTTGAATATGGTTTTAGACTATTGAGGGGCATGTACATATTTGTAACGAGTTGCTATGGTTACAATATGGAGACCTCCATCTGGGTAATATTGGTGTATTAACTGCGAAAGATCGAAAAGAATGTTTGAATATTATGTAAATGTGTGTGCAGTAGTATCATCTTATTAAATAAAATTAATTAATTTATTATTAATTAAAATAAATGAAATTAAATATTACTGTGATGAGTGTGTGTGAGTTTTTTGCTTCCATTTTATAGTGAGTTGACCTTTTGGAAATTTTATATCACCACCAAGAAATGGTGACATTGTTATAACCCCCTTTTTGGACCATTGTCAGTTATGGTTATGGTGACATTTGGTCAGGTTATTGCCTTGTTATTTGATTAATGTACTGATTTATTAACTGGGGAATTTGTTGTATCATTTGGATGTCAGTTTATTGTACTTTATTAAAATTGATGAATGAAATAAATTGATTAAGTACATCTGGAGCAAACTCCCTTCCAGAGTTATATCTCAAGGTTTCGCAGATCTTTGCATAATTGGCTTTCCAATGGTATATGCAACTTACATTTTAATCAACTTTCCAATGGTATATGTATCTCAAGTTCAGATATTTGTTCAGACTTTCCTTTTTGAAATCATTTAAGAATATATTATTTGAAGTTCATAAGCATAATGTACATTGTATTGTTATTACATATCAAAATAACACTTAAATATATATATTATATATAAAATGTATTATTTATTTATTTATATATTATTACTATATAACAGTATAGTATAAAATATATATAAAATGTACATTTTTATGTACTCTACACAAGTTTAACATTTACATAAAGACAGTACATGTTCTGGTTGAAATGTACATGTACAGTGTACATAAGTTTTATCATGATTGATTTACACTTACACAGAGGTACATTTGAATAACTGGAAATACTGTTTCTCACTTATAATTAATTTTACAGTATTTTCGGTGATTTATTTACTAAGGACAATAAATTATGTATTTATTTACTTCAAAAGTTTACTATGCATTGTATTTACTAGTATGCATTGTATTCACTATGTATTGTAAATTTCGTGTACATTTGTATATTTTGTCTTCCAAACTTATGAAATATATTTGTAAAATAAAAATTTATATTTAAAATTTGCTATTGTGTTTTTTGTAAATATAAAATAGAATGAGGTTTTCACCATTCCATATTACATAATAATTATGCTCAAACAAAACCAGAACTTTTTTCTTGAAGGCAGTAAAATGAATATCTCATTCGCAAATTCAAATCTTTAGTTTATGACTTTCTATAATCTACTACTTACATACAACCTTTAAATATCCTTTCCCAACCATCAATCTTTTAATATTTTACATGAAATTACTTGATTCATATACAATGTCAAGCAATCCCATGTGTTCTAATGTGAAATAGCATGAATTAGAATAGGGCACATAAGAGGCTAGTTTATAACTCCAAACATGAACTAAAGGTGGCAGCATAGGATGGAGCGTATACAATACTTGAAGTAATCTTCAATATGACCCCCATGATTTGAATTTTTTTTGAATGATTTTAGATTTTAGCATTCTGATACTCAGAGCATCTCTGCAATGCACAAGAATGTGCATTGAATGTTCTAGAAAGGAAACTGAGAGAAGGCTGTGATATCTCACGATGAGATTTTAGGAATCTGGCTAAATGTGGTATTTGAGATGCCAAATTCATAAAATTCCCTTTTAATAATTTTGCCAAATAAATTGATAGCATTTTACATGCAATAAAGTCAGAAATATTCAACAGAAATCTATGACATTTGCAAAGAATAATATAACAAATATTATGACAACATTTCAATAACATACACTCCCTCTTAAAATTTGGAAACCCCAACTTCCCTTTTGGACCACATCTCAAAACCTGATGACTAAGCCATATCACACTATTCAAAGTTCCATCAAAAGATCTTCAACCTGTACTAAATGATGAGGACAATTGAGATTTAAACATATGAGGCTTAAACTCAGAATCCAAGACTTTCAATTGCCAAACTTTTGGAGGGAGTGTATGGTCTATTACTCTCTTCCTTTGCTTCTTTATTTCAATTATAAACCTGGATAATACAACACCTGAACATTGTACATATATATTCAACTTTACACAATATATTTTGCTTTTACACAATACATTTTACTTTACACAATATATTTTTGCTTTACACAATACTGAGTAAAATCTACATTATGTACATTTATCTACACTTGTATTCAATAACTTAGTAACTCTACAGATGTACATATTTACACAATATTTACATGAACACTGAAGATGTATATATAAAAACATGAATGCGTTTCATAACAAGTGCTAACATATGTAAATGATAAAAATTTCAATCCTTAAAAATACCATATATGAGTCGATTTAAAATTGCTCTATTTGGTAAGGCTCTAGAATTTTGCTTAAAATTCGGTTAAATTATATAAGTCAGTTTAAATGCCCTATTGGTAAGCCTATGGCCCGTATATAAGTTAGCTTTAACTGTCTATATTGATGGAAATAAACAAAAATAGGGAAGCAACTAAATTTTGCCATAGTTAAAGCAATACTTTGCATATCTGCATTCAGATTGGTTTATAGACATTTACTTATATGAGCTTTAGCCAATCAGATAAGAGGCTGCGTATTGTTTAGCCAATCAGATAAGAGATTGCTTACTCATACTGTTTAGCCAATCAGATAACAGCTTACTGTTTAGCCAATCAGATAAGAGATTGCTTAATGTTTAGCCAATCAGATAAGAGATTGCTTACTGTACATGTATTTATAAGTTGCCAGGATAAAAAGTTGAAACTCTTGAATAAAAGATGAACCTCATTTAGCCTACTTTTTATGTGTGATAAAATATATAAACAATACATGTACATACTTTTTATGTATTTGTTTCTTAATATGAGGTATGGTTATGTAAAATGTACATTTTGACAAGACTTAAACATACTTTTATGATAAAATACATTTCATTTGTATACTACAACAAAACATGTGTATGAATATAGCACCATTTAGCAATACATTAAAAAAAATTATGTATTTTTCAGATTCCTCCTAGTTGTACTACAGAATCTATTTTACATTGTAAGAAATCCAACATTATTGTGTTTTTACATATACAATTAATATGTATTACTATTAATATTAGAACCAAAAAAGGAAATATCCCAGAATTCCTAGTCGACCCTATGATCTCAATGTTAAGATGAACCTCTTTATATGGAGATGGGTGTACCTATGAATTTTGGGATATTTCCCCCTCATAAGTACAAAGATGAACACATTTGGACCTGAACACATTTTAAGTCCCATTTTCAATTCCTCCCATTGGCTCCCATGGTAGATCTATCTTTGAAGATGAACACCTTCAAACCTGAAGATTTCTGATTGGTTCCATGAGTGTTCACATTTAAGGAATTTCATTCCATCATTGCAGTAGATTTGTTTTTACTCTATATGCAATTGCAGTAGATTTGTTTTACTCTATAGTATGTATAAGGCTATTGTAGTAGACTTGAAATGTTTTAGACAATGGCAGTAGACTTATTTTACTGTTGCAGTAGATTTGTTTTACTGTTTTCCAAAATTGCAGTAGACTTATTTAACTGTCTAGACTGTGGCAGTAGACTTGTCTATGGCAGTGGACTTGTTTTGTGAGACTTAAAAATATTAACAATAACTTATAAACAAGAACACAAATGTGTACAAAATGTCCCCACCAAGTGGTGATCCCGTGAAATGGTTATCCTGAAAATGAGTAGACAAGACTTTACCAACACAATTTGAGGTTGGAAAATCCAAAGTGGCCACCTTAAAATTTACCCAGAATGCCAAAAATTTAGTCAGTTCTAGATTTTCATACTAAGAACCACCCCTGAAAATTTGAAATTGATCCGTCACACAGTTAACCAGAAAACATGTAAACAAGACTTTACAGACAAGATTTCAGGATGGAAAATCCAAAATGGCTGCCTTGACATTTACCAAGAATGTCAAAAAACTAATCTGTTTGTAGATTTTCATACTAAGAATCATCCCTGAAAATATGAAATTGATCTACCAAACGGTTCACCTGAAAACGGGTAGACAAGACTTTACAGACAAGATTTTAGGACAGAAAATCCAAAATGGCTGCCTTAACATTTACGCAGAATGCAAAAAAAGTAATCAGATGTAGATTTTCATACAAAGAATCATCCCTGAAAATTTGAAATTGATCTATCAAACCGTTCCCCTAAAAACGCGTAGACAAGACTTTACAGGCAAGATTTTAAGACGGAAAATCCAAAATGGCTGCCTTGACATTTACCCAGAATGCAAAAAAACTAATCAGTTCTAGATTTTCATACTAAGAATCATTCCTGAAAATTTGAAATTGATCTACCAAACAGTTCACCTGAAAACAAGTAGACAAGACTTTACAGACAAGATTTTAGGACGGAAAATCCAAAATGGCTGCCTTGACATTTACCCAGAATGCCAAAAAACTAATGAGATCTAGATTTTTATACTAAGAATCATCCCTGAAAATTTGAAATTGATCCACCAAACAGTTCACCTGAAAACGCGCAGACAAGACTTCACAGACAAGATTTTAGGACTGAAAAATCCAAAATGGCCGACAATAAAAAAGTCCTTATGAGTTTTTGCTGATTTCTTTTTACAAAATTATCACATATAACTACTGTTAACAATAAAGTAGGCTTTTACAGCAAAGTACATCTGAAATTATTTATAAAGCTACTAAATAGTTAAAGTATGAAAACTCAAAAACACCATTCAATATGATACAAAGTATTATCGCGCGCTAACTTTTCTTAAGACATTCAAAATGGCTGACATGACTGAGCTAGCAGGTCCAAAACCTAATCAGATCTAGAATGAAGTGAGCTGAACAAGATGTTAAAGTTTTAAAAGCAACTGTGAAGCAGTTTTTCTTAAAGTTTGCAGACAAGGATTTTAGCATTTGACTTCAAAATGGCCGACAGGAAGTAGGTTTCGAGTTAAATTTTTTTCATCCACATCTATAGGCACTCATAAGTTATTCCTGAAAATTAGAAGGTGATACCTGTAGCGGTTTTGGAGAAAACTGCCGGACGTACGGACGGACAGACAGACAACCAACCAGACAGACGGACGGACGGACGCGCCTAGGACGACAATATGGCCCCACACTATGCGGTGGGGACATAAAAAGCTAAGTTTAAAAGTGTGACTTAATTCATCCATTGATTTCCATGGCATTAAAAAATCTATGAGATTGCATTCCAATGCACGGGGATGAAAATCTGACTTGAACACACCTCGTATGAAAAATATATTTGTATAATTTAAAGAAATACTTTCTATTTCATATTTGATGCTTTATATACATGTACTACAATGTAATACGTTACAGATGTTAGATCTCAATCCAATCTTTCAAAGAATTACATTTCAGTTCAATTTCATGATATATTATCATTTGCTTGGTTCAAGTTCATGGCATGTTATCATTTGTTTAGTTCAATTTCATGATATATTATCATTTGCTTGGTTCAAGTTCATGGCATGTTATCATTTGTTTAGTTCAATTTCATGATATATTATCATTTGCTTGGTTCAAGTTCATGACATGTTATCATTTGTTTAGTTCAATTTCATGATATATTATCATTTGCTTGGTTCAAGTTCATGACATGTTATCATTTGTTTAGTTCAATTTCATGATATATTATCATTTGCTTGGTTCAAGTTCATGACATGTTATCATTTGTTTAGTTCAATTTCATGATATATTATCATTTGCTTGGTTCAAGTTCATGACATGTTATCATTTTTTTAGTTCAATTTCATGATATATTATCATTTGCTTGGTTCAAGTTCATGACATGTTATCATTTGTTTAGTTCAATTTCATGATATATTATCATTTGCTTGGTTCAAGTTCATGGCATGTTATCATTTGTTTAGTTCAATTTCATGATATATTATCATTTGCTTGGTTCAAGTTCATGGCATGTTATCATTTGTTTAGTTCAATTTCATGATATATTATCATTTGCTTGGTTCGATCAAGTTCATGGCATGTTATCATTTGTTCAGTTCAATTTTGTGATATATCATCATTCTGTTTGACCTAGCCACCTAGTCTTACTTCAAGACCCTGGAACCCCCCCCCCCCATCTAGCCACCATTCTTGTGACATACTGTAACTTCATATCATGCAGTTTTGTGAGGTATTCTTTGATAACGAATACTTGGATTACTTAGACTTCAACGCCTCAAGAGGTATTCACTGAATACTGAACACATTCCCGTACTTTGTTTCAAATACTGTATTGCATGATTTAATACATGTATGCTACCTTGTATGTGAACATGCATTAGATTTCCTCTCTGTACAATCATCCCAAAGGGATTCTCTTAGCATATTCCCTACCAAAGGGGTGATCTCAAAACTCCTGAATCCCTAAACACATTGCAAATGGGAAAGGCTTGCTCCCCAAACACATATTGCAAATGGGGCTTTTTACACACCAGAGTAATGTATTCCCATGACATTTACAGGGTACTCTAAACTACTGGCTATAGATAGATACCCAGAGGGGCGCACTTAGGCTCTGCCTAGAGGGGTCATCTTAAATACTCCAATCGTAAAGGGGATCATCTCAACCGTAGTAGTGATTCAAGCTCCTCATTGTGCCGGGATCTCTTCTTAAACTATCATTCCGGAAATCATTCCTAAATGCATTTGAATTTGAATTTTCATACACTCCATTGCCGTAGTCATTTCTAAATGTCGTACCCCTAAATTCATTCCTGAGAGTCTGTGCGTGACTATTTTGACGCAGTGTATCTGTGCCATTATCTGTTTGGTCAGACCGCGATGTGTCTGACGTGAACGTCCTATCGTCAACTCGCATACGTATGCTACAGTTTGGGCGTAATGTGTGTAGAGGACTCGGGATTGGCTCCGTAACGTCTAATTTTCCCTGAGATGCGTCACGTCGTCGTAAATAGACGAGACGAAATATAATGATTAGAAGTAACAGAGCGAGGCCCAGGACCATGGATACTGTGAAATATAGAATGAACTTCTCTTTGTTTTCTGAAAAAAAAAACACAAAAAACTCATGAATAAATAAGCAAGCCCAGTACTCATGGTACTGGAGTGAATATTTTCTACACCCTTGGCCCCTGGGCATCCGAGAATATCACTCGTGAAAGATGCACAGGTATTCCGCTAAATAGAATGAAATATTTGTAAACAATATTTTTATGCTATCATTTTATTTTAAAGATGAACTATCAAAAAATAATCAGCTAATTTGTATATGTATCATTGTTTTATTATAAAAAAGTTGGTGTGGGAGATAATAAAGTAAAACCTTTAAGTGGAACACCTCTGTAAGTGGAACCTCCTTGTGTGGAACACCTTTTGAAAGTATCATGGCCATTTGAATACCATCATCAATTGACTTAATGTTTCTGTTATGGGTTATATACTTGGAGGTCTTGAATAAACCCTGTATCCTACCTACCTACTGAGGTTCCAAGCACGTTCTACCTTAGAAATTTTGAAGTTTGAAATATATCTTTATTGAGTTCGCCTTTCAGAAGCAGGACCGGGATATAGACAGCATGTATTCATCCCGGTCCCAGACCTTGGCAATCGCTCCGTTGATACACTATTTATTCCCGCTCGTTATGTACCTAGAACCTCAGTGTTCTCCACAGGAATTTTTCTCAAGTGGGTGCAAAATTCTCATTTTCACAATTTAGGCCGAAATTGGTCAAAATATGCTCATTTTTCATGGTTTTTCTCATTTTCAAGTAGGTGCAAATGAATTGTCAAGTAGGTGCAAGCCTATTTTTGAAATCTCAGGTGTGTGCTGCGCCCACTTGCTTTAATGCTGGGGAGATCACTGCTATTTAAATTTCCCCTACCTCCAAGGAACTTAGCCGTGCTGATCCAGTTTGTGAGGAACCCAATGCCATCCCTACTTTTAGAGGCTGATATAGAGATACCCGTTGTCTCGTTCATACAGTTTAATTTTGTAGTATTCGTAGTTCGTACACTCGGCTGGTCTGAAAAAGAAAAAATATAAAGTCTAAAAAGATAAGTGCGTTCCATCTGGAATTGGTCAATCATAAACAATGAGTAAAATATTGTCATTGATAGTACAATAACGTCATTTCAAAGGGCAATATAGTGAAATAAAAGCCTTCTGAACTAGCACTAATACCCCAGAACAGGCCCGGCAAGGTGGAAGTAATCCCTTTTCCAGAAAAAGGAAAATCAGCAGCAAAATTGTCCCTCAATCTAAATGATATCTAAAATACACTCATCAAAATAAAAATAAATGGGAATATAAAATATAATACAATCTGAAATACTAAACATTATTTTAGTCTTTAAATCAAAGTATCCTCCTAGAAAACTGGTAACTTTCAGCGAGATTATTTTTCAAAATTCTGTAAAACATTTCAGAGTGATGAAGATATTTGGGGTTCTCACCTTTAACAGCAGGGGCAGTTGTATACGTAAGGACATTCTTCAAGTTAACTGTTGATATTTCGGGGAAGAAACCCGCTTCACCATTTTCAATTCCCCGATCTTTATCCTTTTTGACACTTCTAGATTTATCTCTGTTTCGATTTTTCTTTCTATTTTTCCGATTTTTGTTCTTCTTTCTGCGACGTTTTTTATTATGTTTTCTTCGCCCTGGGACACTATCTGGTTTAACCCTCTGTGTGTCACTGGCGGGTAGTCCTATGGTTGAGGGACTTGTGTCACTGGGGATTCTTGTCCTTTGTAGGGACTTTAGTATCTTTTTAGGCACTGCAAGCATAGGAATAATACAATGTTATAAAGGTAGGAAGAAATATAGAAAATTATGTAAACATAAATATTCAAGGATTCTAAATTTTTGTTCTGTGTTCCGTTCCGAGAGTGTAATTCCGCGGGTCGGAACACGATCGGGTGTCCATGACACCTCTAACAATAACTGTGAAAATCAAAGTTCTACAAGCTGGTACATACATTTATTGTACTTACAAGACATGTATTGTACTTCAACTGTATATGCATTGTATATGAAGTATCAGTATATGGGTTTAATATTCAAATGTAAAATTAAACCAGAAAATGTGGCCAGTTCAAGCATCCTTCATTTTATTGACCCATGTCACTCCCTATTATCAAGAAAACTAATGAATACATCTAGGAATCATGACTATGCATAAAATTATGTGACACTTGTCCAGCTTTCATATTTACTTAGAATTTTAGTTCCATGCTATCTTGAATCTATCTCAGATTTCTCCATACCTGACACTTCAAATTATTTTTATCAGGTATATTTGATCAAATAGTCTTTGAAATGGTTAGTTTGGAATTTAGTAGTGACATTTTTCAATAAATCATAGGCTCCAGTATTTCTAGAAATTGAGACATTTCAATTTTATGGAGGTATTTGTCCATGAAATATTTTAAAACAGTTTGAATTTATTCACTGGCACTGAGACAAAAACATTTTTTGGCTTCTTACCTACAGAGAGATCGTGAACTTTGTTTTTAATGTTTACATATATTTGACATACCTTTTGGCATAGATTTAAAATGAACATAAATAGAACGCCTATTCCTAGATATCTTAATATTTATGAATGGCTAATATTTAATATTTCAAGGAATGGGGTACAATTACCAAGGAAAACTTTTAAGTGTTTTAATTGGTACTCAAATGAAGATCTTGCATATCTAAGTATCTAACTTACATGTATCTATCTAAACATAAACATGATGTAACATGTATTTTACTGAAAAAGAGAAATACAATGAAAGAAAATATAATAGACTCAGGCCTGTAGCCAGGATTTGCCAAGGGAGGGTTCACTTTAAAAAATTCCAGGGGGGGGTTCACTTTAACCAACTTTGGCCCAAATATGGCCAAAACTTGAAAAGTGGCCAGATGGTGAAAAACTGCATGATTTTGAAAGAACTTTTAGCCGGGGGGGGGGGATTACGGGCTACGGGCCTGACACTACTGTTGCTTTATGTGAATGGGGTTTCCCAGGGGGATATTCTTAAATTGACATACATTCTTATATTGAAGCATTTCTTATAATTATGGATGGAACTGAATACCAAAAGTTGTATACCTTTATGTGTAGAGGCTACAATGCCGACCACTTGTAGCAGGAAAAGTAATGTAAATAACTTCATGTTATATACCGTTTTAAAGTCTGTAACTCTAAAGTTAACTATGTAAAGGTATCAATCTATTATGCTTTATATCCTTTTATCCATATGATGTGCAGCTTTACTTTATAAATCCATGTTTTGTATCCATGTGTTGTATCCATGTGATGTTCAAATCTATCCATGTGATATTCACCAGGTCCACAAGTCCACATTAGGTACCCCTTTTAACTACCCTGATATTTCCAGATGCTATGTTCCAGGTACAGGTTCTCCACTCTGAGGAGAACAAATTAATATATCATATAATCCTCGTACCTTTTAATGCATAATGATCACAAGATATAGAACGTCCAATTTAACACCTGTCAGTTCTATACGTTAGTTCTAAACTAAACTCTAAAAATCCAGGAAGTCTTCTAATCAAGAACTACATGTTTCTGGATACAGACTTCAGAGCAAAATCCTTATCCAATTTCTTTATTTTCGTTTAAAGTCAGTATTGTTCAAATCTGGTATTACACTGTAGGCTTTAAGTCTCAATTTGTTTACAGACTCAATTTAGAATTTCCAGATCACATTTCTTTATTTTGGGTTTCAGTGCAATCAGAATGACTCCTGGGGTCAATCAGGTCTTTGAATCTAATTAGTGTTCAATCTTAATTAATCCAATTAATTGACTTTGGGATATGTGTACATGTCATCCGATTCTATACACGTATATATCATATACTTGTATAAATAAATGTCTAGGTATTTTTAGACCATTTTGGATATGCTCCTTTTTTGTTTTGAAATTGAAATCCAATTATATGATTTTGTGAGATACATGTTCATATCATCAGATTCTTTTAGTGCTGTAGTTCAATGTATATAGAATGAATGTTTGGGTATTTTTATACCATTTTGCTTATATTCCTTTTTGGTTATAAAGTTAAGTCCACTTTTAAATTACTTGCAGTTACTTTTTGTTTAATGAACATTCGTTTGTATTGTTTCTTGTTTTGTTCTTGCAAATCCAAACTTAATTTGTTGAGTCCATCTTAAACTCCATCCACGGCAAACAATTTTCACTTTTGTAAAACGAAGCCATAAATCGCACCATCACAATTTAATCCAGTTTTGTCTGGTCAGAATCCAAAGGAATGTGTTGATTTTAATTGAATCACGGGGTCGTTTTCCTCTAAGTAGGCCTTAATGCAAAATTATATCCAAACACACCATGTTGACAATCACACAGAAGTGCCATGTGTTTTTATAAGAAACAATGTTGCCAAAATGACTGTGTTAACATATTGTAAATGTTCACGATCCTACAATTCAAGTCAACACGATTACAACCAATGGCTAGTCACTTTTGCGTAATATTTGTCATCACAAAACCAAAATGATAATCAAGTTGATTGTGTCTCCTTCCATGGGCTCAAAATCAATCAAAATGAACCTGATTGGTTTCTGGGGTTTATGGGTTTTTGATAATATGCCCAAATATGGGCATTTCTTAACCCTTTGATTTTTGTCACCTGTTGAACTTTAATTGTATTAGGAATCTGGTCAGTCTGACACCTTCGGGGCAGATTATATTCCCAGTATCTGATAAGGATTTATGGATTATAATATTGTTAATTATTAATTACATTACAATGGATACAATTGACAAATCTGTATTATTACTTGTTTTAACGTGATTATAAAAATCTATCTGTCTTTTTATTATTTACTTTTACTTATTGTACATTCAAATTATAAGCAATCAATTCAGTTAAATAATTTGCTTATAATTTCATTGGAATGTCATAATAACCTAATGAACTGTGTTAATCATGCTCATAATCAAATGTTCATAATCCCATGTTGACTATTATAATCCAATGTTCCATCCTTATACTGCTCATAATCTTATGCTTAAATAATCATTATACTGCTCATAATCCTTTGTTAACAATCATCATAATCCTCTGTTAAATCCTGATTTTGCGTAATCAACAGTTTAGGAAACACTTTTTCATGTGCAAACTGATTATTTTCTTATTTTCCACCTGAGCAGTCCGAGTCCTCACTTAGAATAAGGATTTGGGTGGTTATGTTTTGAAATGCAAAATAGACTGGAAAAGAGTGGAATAAGCAAGAAATGAAGTATACTGACATGTAGTTAACACTCTAAATTGTATAGAAATGCAAGAAATTCAAGTAGTTCAGTCAAATTTTAAAGAGAAATCGAGCTAAATAAGCATGAAGAGACAGAAACTTGAAACATGATTTTTGATTCTTGATTGAGTCTAAGAGCAAACCACTTCACTGTTCATGATTTGTTTTATTGGAAGTCACACACAGGGGAAATCCAATAAAGCTAGATTGTCAATTTCAAGTGTGCCGTCATGTAAGATTTTCCCGAAAAACTGCCAATTCTATCTCACCATATTACTCAATTATGCCGTTGACTTCTAATTGTATAGATACCTCTTACAATATATTCAACAAATTTCCAGAGATACTTTTAGTCCACATTACTATATAGGTGTTTTGTTTTCCATAACTCCTTCATAGATTAATGTTCTCATCTTGCTTTTTTGACCTGTCAGTATTTATATTGCTCTATACAGATCATTAGACATCATTAGACATCCATAATGTATTTGTATTTGTGATTCCTATCAACTTCTTTAAATACTTTCTTAGACCTAGTTTAGTTGTCCAAACCGTTTACTTTTGCTATAATTTTTGTCTATCAATTTGTTTCCCTTAACCTGCAACTGTATGACTGATCAGCGCTTATTCTATGAAACTTCTGGAATATTCCAAGATAATTTAGAATAATACAAGACATAACAATATTCTTGAAGGCACCAATATGTTAATAAACTTTATATATAAGTTTACAATATGTATACAAATTATAGATATTTCAAAACTTGAATGGAGTATCCATCATTCTTCTATAATTATCTCGACATCAGATGCTATTATTCTGATATCAAATGCTATTATTCTGACATCAGATCTTTCAACTATTGCTTTATTGACCGTAACAGGACATAGTCATGCATTTCTGCCTATAGCCCTTTTTATGTTTTGTCATGATTCTGTTCAATCTTTTCATTCCTTTATACCCTTTTCAAGACAAATAAATGTGTCCATTCCTCTACTCTTTTAACAATACTGATTACAATTATCACATGGTGTCCCTTGTAGATTCTTTTGCTCTTAAATAAGTACATATATATTGGTATTCTATGGGTCTTTGGTACTTTCTGATTGGTTGATGGTCAAATCATGATTTTTTTTTTTTACTTATAGTGTAGAGTACTAATCAATGTATGCAGGGTAAATCTCTGACTTGACTGACTTCTTTTTCTAGTTTATCCTTAAAATCATCAAATCAGCACACATTTCTAATAATGCATCACACATGGCAAATTCGGTCTCATTTCATATTGAGATTTTGTTTATATTTATTTGAAAGCAAGAAATAGGAAAATTCATGGGAATGTGAGCATAAATAGAAACACAATAGGAAAAATTCTTTTCCCTTGTAGAAAGTTTTAAAAAATTTGACATCTTCTCTTGATTAAAAGAAAATTCATGTATTTACATAATTCTAATTATCTGTCACTTGTGCAAAAAATTGTTACGGTATA